CGAATGTACACGTTTAACACGCTTCCGCCGGCGTTTATATTCACAGACAGTGACGTGAGTCAGCGGGGACGCCTCCCCCTGTTGGCGTCATTCACGAAAAAATACCATTCACACTGTTTTACACCGTTCGCAACGGCGCTGACGGCGAGCCATATGCAGTCTACTAAGCAGGTGCCTGGTCACAATTGTGACATGCCCGCGAATTACAGATTCTGGCACGGACGACTCATGCGAATGCATTCTAATAGTTGGTGGAATGAAGCGGGAACCCAGCGCGTCAGCCAACTTTTCCATCTCCGCGAAAGTTAAAACAAGAAGCGGCACGTTGATGATGGCTAAACCGCAAGTGAAATAATGTGGGCGGTGCCCTTCGCAATACGTGGCCTCCACCTGTTACTGTTGCGGCACACCCTCACGAACACGCTGCATTGTGCATGGATGGTGGCCATCTCCTTGTAGGAAGAAAGCTGTAAGAGTGTCGGCTTGATGGTGATAGGCGCTCTGTATCGTATCGTTCGCTGGTCTACTGCAGTCGCCGTGGGCTTGCGGACGGTCGAGGTAGTCTTGGTGTGCTGTGGCGTTTTGGGTATGCAGGGGTCTGTCTTCTGCGGCACTGTGGCTCCCAATGGTCCTGGGATGTAGGGCTATTCGTGTGCTCGAAGGGCCCTGTCGGTGTCTGGGCCGAGTTCCTTGTCTCGTGTCCCAAGTAGGGTTGGGTGCTGGGCATGATGTCGGCGCTGTTGCATATGTTACAGGTGCCTCTGGTGGATTGTTGTGCTCGCACCGGCGGGCTCCGCATTCATCGCAGATCTCCTCCTTCTCGGTTCCTCCATTCCTTTTTCTTATAAATGATTCTTCCCTGTCGCACCTCGAGGCCGGTCGGAAGGGCGGGCCAGGCGTTTCGCTTGAGACCTCCTTACCATTTGTGAGCCTGAAGCTTAAAGTTGGCGGCAGTTTCACGAATGGAGGCCGAGTCGCTTCCGAAATGTGGCTCTCGCTTGAGTGCCGCGCACATTCGTTTTAAGCTTTGCATGGGTTTCGCGGATTGAGGGGGGGTGGTTTTCAAAATGTGGTTCTCGCCGTAGCTCCGCGCACGTTCGTTGTTCAAGTTGCAAGAGCTTCACGGGTAGAGGGCGGTTCCTTTCCAAATTTTGGCTCTCGCCCCAGCGCCGCGCACATTCGTTTCAAATGTTGCAAGAGTTTCGCCGATTCTCATGGTCATTTTCCAGAACGTGTTTCTTCGAACGATTAAGGCGTGTCAGGGCACAACAGTTACGGTGATTCGTGCTGTTGAATTCCTCTGAATGGTGTGATGGCACGATTCAGGATCGTCAAGACGCAACAGCCAGGTTGATTCGTGGCGTTGAGGTCCTAAGAACCGTGTTTTGGCACGCTTCAGGCTTTTCACACGGTTGCTTCCCAACGGGGCGTGTCCTCAGTGGGAGTGAATGTTTGTACGGGGCCTATGAAAAGGGAGCTTGGAGGGAGGTGTATCCCGACATCGTTGGTGAGTCTTGGCTTTACACTGATCCTCCTCCTCCCCCTCCCCTTTCTCCTCCTCCGTCTTCGCCTCCTCCTTCGCTTCCTGCCCTTCCTTCTCCTCTTTCTCCTCCTCCTCCGCCCCCTCCTCCTCCTCCTCCTCCTCATCCTCCTCCTCCTCCTCCTCCTTCCTCCTCCTCTCCTCTCCTCCTGATCATCATCATCATCATCATCATCATCATCATCATCATCATCATCATCATCATCATCATCAGCAGCATCAGCATCAGCATCAGCATCATCATCATCATCCCTTCTCCCTCCTCCTTCTCCCTTTTGCTGCGTTTCCCTTTTGCTGCTCTTCCTCCGCATCGTGGACTGAAGCCTGGCCCCTCGCCGTCAGCACATCTCTCGCCCAGCGGTGCTTTTGGGTGCGTCCTGACAGTCAACGTGGTGCACGGCGCGGACGGGAAACACAGACGCCCTACACAGCTTTCATTGAACATGTGACGCGTGGGCAGCGGCAGGGGCAGGGGGGATGAGGTGGAGGAGAGCGAAGGACATGAGGAGGACTAGAGGTATGACCTCGACGGCCTTTAGTGCTTCTCTCATTGTCCACGCCATCGATAGTCGATTCCGCGCAGGGTTGTGACTCTGTCGGGGACATTCGGACAATGGTCATCACGAAACCGCCTTTTCCTCGTCATCCTTACCCTCCTGGTCGTTGTCGTCGTCGTCCTTGCCCTCGTGGTTGTCGCCTCGCACCTCCCTCCGTGTCTCAATATCAAACTGCTCATCATAGTCTTCGTCCTCGTCTTCGCCCTTGCCATCCTCGTCCTATTTATTATCCTCCCCATCCTCCATCCTCCTCCCCCCCTTCCTTCTCCTCCATCCTTTCTCCACTCCCCCCGCCTCTTCGTTCTCCGCCACCTCCGTACCCTCGGCCTCCTCGTCGCCCTCCTCCCCCGCCCATCTGTGGCCCGCGTGGCCACCAGGGGGGGCAGCCGCAGCAGCAGCTGCAGTGGCCGCCTCGGCTCCCGCGAGGGTGGGCTGGCGGCGGGCAGCGGCCGAGCGGGCGACCGGGCAGCTCCTCCGCACACGAGAAGGGGAGCAGAAGCAGGAGGGGGAGGGCGAGCAGGAGGAGGAGGGCATGAGGAGAGTAGGAGCAGGGGTCAAGTTCGCCCCGTCGAGCGAGTCAAGTGGCCCCGCCCATTCGCCCCCTTCCCACAGCATGCGAATCACATGTGGCACCACTCCGGCCTCCCGCCTCCCACCTCGCGAACGGAAGGCGCTGGCGCGCGGCCGCGCTTCAAGCGACTTGGCGAAGAGAAGGCTACGCGGGCCGCGCCGGGGCCTGAGCGGCAAAGCTTCAGATGGGGGCGGCATCAACGAAGCACGTGGCGCGCTGACACAGCACTGCCACTTCCACTCACGAGCTGCGCGTCGCTCGGGCGAGGTTGGCCTCTCGCCCGCTCTCGCGCGGCCCCGCTGCCGCTGCCGTTCTCGTGCGCTTCGGCGCACGATCCATGCGCCGCGCCCGCGCTGGAACGCCGCTTCCGACCGAGCTGCGCACGGAGTGTGGGCGAGGAGGGCGACACGTCGCACATTCGCGCGGGCCCTCCCGGAATCGGCGAGTGACAGTGCCGAGGCGGGAGCGCCACTTCGGGCGAACTCGGCGCGGCGTCGAAGCGAGAGCGACATGTTCGTCAGGTCGTGCATCGACACGCGCGTGCGAAAAATGTGCGCTGCGCCCCGTGTGGGAATTCAATCCTCGAGGAAGAAAGCGCGGCGCTGACGCGAGAGCGACACCCTTCCATCTTTCGCGCGGGATAGGCGTGCCCCGTTCCATTCCTGCCACGCGTTTTGCAACATGGGCAATGTAACGCCAATGTTGGGACGAAGAGGTTTGACTTTGCATTGCGTTTTGGCAGGTCGGATAGGGCCACCCGGATTGGGCGGTTATCGTCAAGCAGATTTCCAGAGTTAGAGTATATAGTATAGGCGGACGGGGGATGATAACGTGCAGGAAGGTCCAGATGACGGGTCAGCAGCAGCAGCAGGTGCACACCGCTCGCGCGACAGGGACTAGGGAAGAGAGGAGGGAGGGGCGGCGGCCAGGTGGGTTAGGCTGGCCTCGAGGTCCTGAACTTCGGCCAACATGAACTCCTTCGCCTCGCCGTACCTCTCATTTCGGGTGGAACTTCTGGGAGGTCAAATTCTGTTTTCGCCCTGGTCTGAAATCCAGCTTGATTCAGCTTGATCCCGCTTAATCCGGCTTAATCCCGCCTAGTCCCGCTTAGTCCCGCTTAATCCCGCTTGGCCCGAGGCTGTTTCCGGCGTAACAGCTTCCAAATGGAGCTTAATCCTCTTTAATCTTTCCGACGAAACCCTCCCAGTAGTTGCCTCCTAATCTCATCCTCCTTGGGATGCCCCGCGCGCCGCAGACGATTCCTGCGGGTCTGGAAATTCTTGTCCGCTGGTTGGAACCAGCAGACCTCAGCGAGACCTCTGAGAGCCTGGGTGGTGTGACTACCACAGTTATATCATAAAAAGAACGGCCCCGTCTTCCAGAGTGCACAGCCCCGAAACAAGTTTCGGTTCCCAGTGGAGGAGGAGGAGGAGGGGGTTGGAGTAGGAGCAGGGACTGGGCCCGTAGGCCTCCTACACACCGTAAGTCCACGACACTCGTGGAGATGGAGTTTGGCTCGTTCTTTCTTGGCGGTGGCCTTCCTACCGCATCTGAGACAGGTGACGGAGGGCCCCGTATAGTGAAACATATGAGGCTTGGCGGGAGCCTTGCGGGGCCTCCTGCGAATTCCCAATGCCGCACCGCCTTCTCCACTCCTCTTCTTAGGGGGGTTGGGGGTGGTGTCGGCATATCGTATTACATGCACGGAGACGTCGGCAACGGACTGGAGCATACTCCGGACATGTTGGTACCTCTGCTGGTACACTTCTGAAATCCCTACAGGCCTCGGAGCAAGCGCAGCATCTTGCTTGGCCGCCCAATCCGCTTCTTTGTTGCTTCTGGAAAGAGTCTGAATTCTGGGGTCCTCTGACTGGAGTCCCTCAGTAGAGTGTGCTTGGACCTTCACTACCTGGAGGCCCTGTTGGCCTGGAAGCATACCATCTAGCACCTGCCAGATCAGATTCCAGATGTCAGCGTGTGGCCTGGCACCGCGCGTGCACCAATGCCTGCCCCTCTTGAGTCCCTTGACCACCGTATCACTGCCTATGGCGATCGTGATAGGCGGCCTGGCATACTGCAGAAGCTGGGCAAGCCCAATCAGCTCGCACATGAGAACGGACAGCGTGGCTCTGACCCCCGCTGGGCATCCACACTGCGAGAAGACAGCCTCGAACGAGTCCTCCGAAACGAGCGAGGAGCTCCAACCGGAGCTCTTGTGCCTTGGGGGGGGGCCAACGCCTGAGCCGTCGGAAAAGGCGAAGCCACTGTGCAGGCCTGTCTCTCCCTTGCGTGCGAGGATTCTGTCCACTTGCACATCGAGAGGTGGGCCTGACAGAGGGTGATTCACAAGGCCTCGGGCACAAAGGGGGGCGCCTTCTGTGGCCGTCGCTGCTCGAGGAATGATTCCAGCGTTGTCGTCGGCAACCGCTCTTCTCTGCTGGTCGAGGGCGGCGCAGCGGCAAGCGCGGTGTTGCTGCGAGCCCATCTCCTGCTCGCAGGCCTGACGTTCTCCGACGCCCGTGCCCCCTCTCTTCCAGCGGACCTCCAGCGTGCAGAAGGCAGCGCAGACGCGGCTCTCGATGGCCCCCCCCCCTCTCGCCTGGGACGGTGCCGCTGGGCCTTCTCTGTCCGCGGGGGGGCTCGGACTGGCTCCAACTGGGGCATCTGGATCCCAGGGAGCATCTGCTCGTCTGCCCGCTCCTCCGGGGCAGCCTGCTCCGACCGAGGGGCGGCCAATGCCTGGACAGTGGAGGGCGGGCGGTTGGATGTCGCCCCCAACCGTCGGGTGACAAAAGGTCTGGAAGGGTGCCTCCTGGGGACATTAGCTCTCCCTGCATTTTTGGATGCATCACGTCATTTATCCCATCGAGTGGGATAGCAGTTTCCTGCGCAGTTCCGTTCACACGTTACAGCGGCCCAACGTTCCAAAGATACGGAGGGCGGGGTGATCCTGAGGTTTTCAGCATGTCTTTGTGATGCTCGGAGGTTGATAGACCTCCTACCCTGGCACGCCGATTAGCGAGTTGGTCGTTTTCGTTTCGCGAGAGGGCGTCGGGGCCGTCATTGTTGCGGGTCCAGGTCCGTCGGTTTCGGTCCTGGGCCGCTTTCACTGAAGTGAGGTTTACTAAAGGGAGGTTTGTCCACCGCCGAGATGTGTCAAACAGATGGGCGGCGCTGGCAACGCCCACCCTAGACGGTCCAATGATCCGTACAGGGCAGTGGCAGGGCCTTTGGCGCCATTCCAGTTGAAACTGCACCGCCTGGCCTCTGTCGCGGCCGCAGGCGCAACCGCCCTGGCCCAACCCGCCTTGAGCGTGTCGTATGCGACGGTCTTGTCCCAGACGGCGATGGCCCACTTGCCTAGCGGGCTGAGGGTGGCCTGGACGATGGGGTCTGCCTTGTGGAGCCAGAGGCGCAGTGCCCCGTCCTTCCCCATGGGCTCCCCGCCGAGGCCGCTGGATGGCGATTTTGAGGATGGTCGCTGGGATCCCAAAGCTGGCGGAGGCATAGAACATGCTGGGCAGGAGGCCGTTCCTGACGACAGCTCTCGTGATGGCTCCGCTGGCCTCGAGGCGCAGGAGCTTGCCCGTCCTCTCCCGGGCCTTGTTGACTCTGGAGTTGGCCTGTTCCCGCTTGACTGGGGCCCCTCCCGCCGTGTCGACCCCCAGCGGTTGGCCAGCGGACTTGACCTGGTGCCCGAACTTATTGGCCATTGCCTGGCCGCAGTCGCAGAGCTCCTTGTCGGCCGTGACGAGGTAGCTCTTGCCTCCCCTGTCCCCGCGCGCGCAGGAGATGGGGGTCCCCAGGACGTCCTCGACATGAGCGATGTAGAACTGAATAATGGCACATATGTCCTCCAGCGCTTCTTGTCTGGATCCGCCCCTCTGCATCTGGTGGTCGTCTATGTGCAGAACCTATCTCGCCGCTGGCCATTGCGTCCTCATGTAGTAACAGGTGATGGCCATCTTGAGGGCTCCGTTCCCTCCGAATGACCCTGCAATGGCTGCCGAGAAGGTAACGATGCAAAACTGATCAAAACTGTGAGGCGGTCTTGTGATATGTGATCCACCGCGTGCCAGTACGCATAGACATAATAAGGCGAACATGCCCGGGAAAGTCAAGCTCGGCGCTGCGATCCCAGCGGAGGTGCGCGCTGGCGTGCTCGAAGGCTTTCTCCATGTCCGAATCTGCACGCAGGGAGACAGAGTCCTGCGGGAGGCCCTCCTCGATGAGGGCCTGGGTCCACATGGTGTTCTCTGCCTCTCCTCCTTTGGCCTCAGTCGTCTTCCCTGGCTACCTTGGCTTCCCACTGGATGTCGATGTCGGCGCGCGCTCTCTCGGTGACTCTCGCGATGGTGGCTCATGGGCCCGATTGGCCGAGTCGAGGTAGCCGTCTTGTCCAGTGGGTAATAGAGAATCCGCGTAGCGCTGGTCGGCCAATGAATATGCTTACTGGTGTTCATGATACCGTCGCAAAACAAACCGCGTGCCCTCGTCGAACAGTTGCAGCGACCATCTGGGGTGAATCTGATCAGCCACAGCTCCAGTGGAGGCTCGTGAGGCCCTGCAGACACGGCGCAGCAGGCTCGGGGTAACCTCCACCATAGGGGCTGGGTATACGCGATTATCCCAGGGTCTGTCTCGCTCCCTTCGGCAGGTATCACCATGCGACATCCAGAGCCGATGCAAGGGGGCTGCGTGCTGCTCCGCTCTGGTCTGCGGGTTGGCGAGGTCGAGGTTGCTGATGCTCTGCTGGATCTGCGAGGTAGTAGGGTACGGGGTGGGCGTCGCTTTGGCCCACTTGCTGATCCTGTGGATCAAGCTCGCGGAGC